ATGGATGGGTTAGTGTATGAATGGGTGAATGGGTTGGTTAAAGGATGGATGGATCAATGGATGGATGGATGGGTTAGTGTATGAATGGGTGAATGAGTTGGTTAAAGGATGGATGGATGGATGGTTGGACGGATGGATGGATAGATGGGTATTTGGATGAATGGGTAGATACACCTGTAGATGAATGAAAAAGTATAATTGTTTTATAAGATTTAAACTTTATTTTGATGGCAAGACACAACACAATGACAATTGAATGGATGAAAGATAAAACTTTTTGTTACTTTTGTTCCAAATGTGAGAAGGCTTCCAGGCAGGTCCACACAAGGGGTTGTACCCAGGGACAGGATAGCAGCAAGCTGGAGCGGCAGGGAGCAGCTTACCTGTGGCAAGCAGGGTGGGGTTAGCTAGGATTCCCAGGCTCCCTGTGGACTGGCTAATTTGAATAAGTTTCCGAGTTCCAGGGTATGAGGCCGTCCACAGTTATTCGGTCCCTGACCCCTAGGTGATTAGGCACACAGCGGCCCAGAGTGTGAGAGCCCAGCAAGGGAAATGTCGGAGCATAAACTTAACTGCTAACAAAAACTGACCAGCCTCCAACCTGAGCCTCAAAAGTGGATCAAAACGGTATTGTTCAAAAACTACATTACAGGACACCTGGATGGCTCAGTCGATTAAGCGCCTGCCTTCAGCTCAGGTCATGATCCTGGGGTCCTGGGATCGAGCCCCGCATCATCATCATCGGGCTTTCTGCTCAGTGGGGAGCCTGCTTCTCCCTCTCCTGCTGTGTCTCTCCCTCCCTCTCATGTTAACGTGCACTCTCTCTCTCAAATAAATAAAATCTTAGAAAAAAAACCCTACATTACAGCGGTATATGGAAAAGTGTGTAGACGGACGGATGCCTTTCGGAGTTCTCTCAGTCAATAGTATTTACAGAAGCAGCAACACTGGATTCAGGTAATTGAGGATTTTCATCCCATAGACAAGGTACCCGAGAATGTACCAGCTGGGAATTTCGAGAAGTCTCTGTTCTGATGGGTCTCAACATGCTTTGGTCTTCCTGAACTGAGAAAGGCAATAGATCCTCTCACCCAGAAAAGGCACACACGTACGATTCTGTGTACCATTTAGAGGGCTGCATACCCATTTAGTGGACCCCATGCAGTTCCTCGCCAGAGCCCTGTCCCCACCTGGGAAGTGAGAACTCTCAGGGTAAGGAGTCCTAAAGTGGTAGGACAGGCCAGTACTCCAGGGCGTCACCTGAGTCACCCAGGCCAGGGAGGGACTTGACTCAAGTCAATGCAACCAGTCCACATGGCCACGTCAGGCGCAGATCCTGATACACCTTCCCGGGACTCAGTTTCCCTATCTCCAAGAGAACGGAGTGGAACTGGATCACTGTTTGTGGACTTGCTTCAGAGAAGGTAACAGGGAAAGGGGAGACCAGCAGATGGGCTTCTGACCCTCCGATCTATTCCCCAATTCCACTTTATCTGGTCTCTTTTGAAGGAAAGGTTTTAAGACCTTAAAAATATATACATTGGAAAGGTCCTGCCTTGCAAGCTTTGAAGCTGCTAAGATCCGTAAGTCTCCAAGTCTCCTGAGTGAAGCCAAGACAACCAATCAGTGTTGAAGTGGGAGGAGACTGTTGCCAAACATCCCCAGATTCGGCGGGAGGGGGCACAAACCTCACAGGTCGCCAGAAAACAAGACAGGGGAAGGTGCTCCTTCTCCAAAGTCTTTTCCACGTTTCTGCCACTTGGGAGGCCGGCTGCCTGTTTACGCTGGAACTCGGACAGCAGAACAATCAGGTGGGGGAAGTAATGAGAAGAGCCAAACGTTGTGTTAGACAAACTCCCTCACTTACGCAGTAAGCCAACTGCCGACCGCGATGCCAGAAGGAAGAATGCTAGCTTTTAGGGGTGACCCGCTATGCAATCCACTTTTCACATCCATGATTGCATTTAATTGAGAAAGGGGACAGTACGGCAGTTAAGCACACAGACTTTGGAGCAAGTCTGCCTGGGTTCCTGCGAGGATTAGCTGAGTTCATCCATTTAGGTGCTTAGAAAAATGCCTGACACAGAACACAAGTTACGGATGGGTGAGGGCTGTAATTAATCCTCACCACTCCCCCTATGACACTTGTCATGCTCTCTGCTCCTCTCCCAGCTCAGAGAGGTTAAGCCACCTTCCCGAGGTCCTTAGGCAGGGAGCGTGGGGACGGGGATCCAGGACCTGCTGCTTTTGAGCACTGGACACCTTTGCCACCCTGTGGCTCTAAAGGGCAGCCAGTCTACACAATAGAACATTCCTTGGGCTAACCTGGAAATCTTCCATGTGGCTCACGGAGCTCTCAAGGCTCACAGGGCAGGCAGAGCCCCAGGTTGCGGCAGCTGTCCCAGCCTGGCCTCTGCAGGCGTGGGTTCTAGAAACTGTAGCCGGACTGGCCACCCCTGGTTGCTGGGCAGGAGCCCTGGGCTGGGCTGGAGGTGGAGGGAGGAAGTGCCCAGGAGGGCGGTGACATCACCACCCAGCCCTTGAAAGATGAGCCGTTCCCTCCACCTCTTCAGCTCCTGGGAGGGGTGAGGACATCAGGCAGCCCTGCCGGGACGGAGGGAGCACCCGAGGTGCCTGTGTGGCTCCCTCTGGACAAGGGGGCCCCCCGGGCAGGGGCTGGTCCAGTTGCCTCCCCACTGCCAGGAGGACAGGAGGTCCCAGCACAAGGAGAGAGCCGGCAGGTGAGTGTCCCAGGGGCTGATTTCTCGGGCTGGGGGGAAAGTTCCCTTCCTTTCCCAGTCCTGACAAGTAACAAGACGGGCTCCACGCAGGAGGAATGATCTTGTTTGTTCTAGGTTTGTCTTCCTCCTGAATGAGACAGCCATGTGTGTACTTGTGTGAACAATTTAGTGATTTGATTTTTATGGACTCTGGGTAGCTGCCTTGGACTTTGGCAGCAAGGAGCAAGCAGGGATGGGTGTGGGGTTTAGACTCTGGAATCCGGCTTTTAACTCACAGCTGTGCAGCTCATGAGCCCCGTGTGACCCTGGACAAGTTCCTTAACCTCTCTGAGCCTCAGTCTCTCTGTCTGTGAAGTACCCTGCTTGCTGGCTGCCGGGGTGGCAGGAGTTAAATCAGACGGCAGAGGGGAGAGGGTCTGTCAATGCTGCCGCTGGGAAGTGGTAACTCAGGCAGGCTGAAAGCCCCTCGGGTCCTGGTCCTGGTCCTGGTCCTGATCCTGGTCCTGGCCCTGGTCCTGGCTGTCCAGGGCAGAGTGATAAACCTGGACACCGGTTCAGAGCCTGGGCTTGGCACGGGTTGGAGTCCCAGCTCTGTTCTCCTTCCCTGTGTAACGTTTTTGAGCAAATTATGTCCTCCAACCCCCGCCCCCATTTCCTGCGCATGAAGATGATTTGGCAGGGTGGTGGAAGGGTAGACATGGGCAAGTGCCTGCCTGTGAAGCCCCACAGCTGCGGTGGGTGCTCCGTGAGGGCTGCTGAGGGCAGGTAGCTGCGTGAGCCGGGGCTGGGTGGGCAATGGGCGTTGCTGTGGCGGGCAGGTTAGAATGTGCCTCCCTGAGTCACGGGCTGTCTCTGGTTCCTGCCCACAGGGAGCGGGAGCTCTGGCCCAGGTGTGGGGCACTGGGGGGCCCTGGGCCAACCCTCTTGAATTCCTTCTCAAAAAGGGAGAAGGGCTCGGGCTGGGGCCAGGGTGAGCGACCCCAGAGGACACTGCCTGATCCCTCTTCTTTGGAGGAACGCCTTCCTGTGACCCCAGCAGCAGCGGGGTAATGGCGAGCCCCACAAGCTTGAGGAAAGAGTGTGCCATTTCCCCTTGCGTGAGGTGGAAGGCAGGCAGGTCTGGGGAACAGCCAGGGGAAGAGGTTTGGGAAAACATTGAAAACAAGAAGGCTCCCATGCCATCCCCGCAGGCGAAACCCTAGGGCCCCATTCCAGCCCTGCCCTAAGCTCACACAATCCCTGTGATCCTTTGGTCTTTGTTCCAGACAGGGGATGCCTCAGCCTCTTGGGGACTCTGGCCCTGTCACTCACACACAGGGGAAGGTTCCAATGACTGACTGAGCCTAGAGCAGGGGGAAGGGTCTAAGGACTTGGGATTAGACCAAATTTGAGAGATGCTGGCCAAGCAGGGACCATGCAGGGGAAATAGCCGTGCGACGTGGTCTCAGCTCACACAGTGACAGGGTCTGGCCCTCAGAGCGGGTCAGAGGGACGGTTTTCAGAATGAAAGCAGGGCTCTTCTCTCTCTCGGTTCACGGCTGACTCCCCTGCACAGAGAACCGAGAACCGTGCTCCCCGTAAGGCAGGCTCTGGTCACTCTCTGCTGAATGACTGGATGGATGGATGGATGGATGGATGGATGGGTAGAATTCCTAAGTGACAGATGCCCATCTGAAAAGGCTACATACTGTATGATTTCAGTTATATGACATTCTGGAAAAGGCAAAACTATAGGGATTGTAAAAAGATCAGTAGCTGCCAGGGGTCAGGGGGAGGGAGGGGTGAATAGGCAGAGCACAGAGGATGTTTAGGGCAGCAAAACTGCTTTTATGAGGCTGTAGTGGAAGATACACATCATTATACATTTGATCTCACCCACAGAATGTACAAGGGAGCCCCGTGGACTTTGGGAAATAATGATATATAGGTATTCACTGTAGGAAATGTACCCCTCTGGCAGGGGATGTTGATCATGGGGGAGGTTGTGGGTATGTGGGGGCAGGGAGCATATGGGAAGTCTCTGTACTTCCTGCTCAATTTTTCTGTGAACCTAAAACTGCCCTAAAAATATCGAGCCTATTAAAAAAAAAAAAAAGCACAAAGCAGATCTGTGTGTCACTTTGAGGATTCAGAAGGCACTTAGAGTATCTCAAGACCATGAGCCAAATAATCAGAACCTACTAAGATTTGACAGCCCGAATGCATCACTTCCAACACGTACCCAGTCTAGGAATCCCCTGACCTGTGAGTATCTTTCTTAGTGCACATGCTTCCAGGGACGGGGAGCTCACTACTTCACCGGCCAGCCCGCTCCATCTCAGGAGAGTTCTATTGTTAAGAAGTCCTTCCTTAGACTGGAGCTAAACTCCTCTCCCACTGAGCAATGATCCACTTTCTATTTCTTGGAGCTGGAGTGTACAAATTCTAGTCCTCGTAGGCCCTCTCTGAGCTAAACATCCGCAACTCCTTCATCAAGACACACTTTCTCTTGCAAACCCAAAGAGTCAGCTACCTCTTTGACTCTGTCATCAAAGTGGGATCTGGAGGATCCTAGAGGCTAGAAAAATATGAGCCTCCCCCCAAAAATCATCACAGCACAAAGCAGGGTGCTACACACACGACCTCTGGGTTCAAATGCTGAATGTTTACTAGTTAGGGATGCTCTCTGAGACTGCTTTCTCCACGGTGCAGTGGGGATCATCCTTCCCATTTCTGAGGACCATGGTGAGGTGTAACTCAGATGGTGTTGGCGCGGTGTGGGCAGGCATCAGGCTCACTGCAGGTGCCCACCTAGCAGAGGGACGGCCTATCGGGGCAAGAACAGGGTCTAGGACCATCAGAGGTGTTGTCTTTGCCCTGCAATGGGGCCCCCGCATCCTGGGGATTCCCAGGGAAAAGAGCACCCCAGCATGCACGTGCTCATGTTCCCAGACAATGCATCCTTGGGTGGTGACAGCAGGAGCCCTGTCATACTTCCCTTCGGGGCTCAAACTTTAGGTTTCCAGCGCCCCCCACCCCCAACGCCTGTGGGCCTCCTGATCTCTGGGGCCTGTGGAGCGCTGTCAGGTGGGGCACAGAGAACTGGCTTCCAGACCCCAATCCAAACTCCCCAGACAGCAGAGAGACCTCAGACCAGTCATTTCACTTCTCTGGGCCTCATGGGGCCAATTGAAAATCAGCGCTATCTGGACCGGACATCCCACAGGATGTTATAAACTGCAGAGTGCCTGTCACGTCACTGGTTGTTATTGTGCTGATCTGTACCTATGACCCAGTGTCTCTTCTTTCCTGAGGGCTCCCTGAGCGACCACACTCCAGCGTGGGCATTGCCTGACGGGGAAAGACTGGCCATTTCCAAACGTTGCTGCGCATCCGGTCATGTGGAGGCTGGCTTCCTCCTCCCGCCACCTACAGACCCCAGGGTCCTCTCCTGGGACTCTTAACTCCTCCCAGCTCCCGGGATTTTGATGCAGGTGGGCCTCTGTCCACATTTGGGAGACAAACAGCCTTAGCAAAGGGCTTTCTGAGGGGAGCACCCTTGAGGAGAAATCAGGCCCTGTCCCTGCCCAGGACTCTCCTCGGTGGATGTTGTTAAATGTCAGGTAGTAAAGTGGGGGTGGGAGAAGGGGCCTCTGGGCTCTCTTCTGACCAGAAATGTCCAGAAAAGAATGTCTAGAATGCAAGAACGTGGCGGGGGAGATGAAAAGCCAGACGAGGCAGGACCGGGGTGCCTCCACCCAGCACAGGTGGGCTCAGCAGGGGCAAAGGCCTGTGGACGAGGCTGTCTGCACAGATCATCTGTGGTGGCCGAAACAATGAGAAGCAGGGGACTCAAATGAACTGGGGCACGAGGGGCAATAGACCCGCATGGCAGCGATGCTTCGCCCCCTCCCTGCCCCCTCCCTGCCCCTCCTCCTCCTGGCTCAGAAGCCATCCGCAGGGACTGAATCCCACCCCCACTCCTCCCCAGCCAGGTGACCCAGGACAACCCCTCAGCGTCTCCTAGCGTTGGTTCATTCAGCTACAAATAATCATAGAACTGGAAACTTCTTAAAAGGAACCGGGAACTGCCTGTCCTGTCTGGTGCCTTCGAAGTGGGTGGTTGGCTTGTTAAATGCAACAGGGCGCCTGCGCGTCAGGGATGTGTCCATTCTCCTCCTCCAAGGCCAGCTGCACACGCAGTGCTCTACACACTCAGAGGAGGTCTGGAAGGAGTGGGGGCGGGGTGGGGGGGAACCAGAGGGAGCGCTGCCCCTGGGAGGGAGCTCGGGGCAGGGCCAGAGCCAGGAGGCAGGCTTCCTGGCCACTGTATACACTTTTCTACTCTTCGAAATTCTTAATCTTGAGCATGCATATCCCTTTGCAGAATTTCAATATATATATATATTTTTTTTTTTTTTTAAAGAAATTGAAGTGGAAAATAAGGAGACAAAATCCCCCAAGATGCCCACTCTCCACAGCCTGAGTCTGTCCTGCAGATGAAGGGAGGGGACAATTCACACATTGGCCCCAGCACCCAGGACCAGTGCAGGGAAGAGGCAGCCGGGGAACAGCAGGGACCCCCGGGTGGGGGGACAGGCCGGCCTTCTGGATCATTTGTGAGTTTTTGAGGAAGTGCGTTCGCTGAGCAGCTACAGTGTGGGGGCTCTGTATTGGGCACCAGGGTGCTGCTGGGGACAAAAACTGCTTGTCATGCTCAGACTCTGGGGAGGAGTTTTTTTCTGGGGAAAAAAAAATCTTTTTTTTACTTACATGTGCATTTCAGCCAAATGAGAAATTAATCCCATCAAATAATCCAAGAAAGGGGAAGACGTTGTAGAAAAAAATCAGTGTGATCAATGAATTAGTGCGATCAAGGAAACCGACTGAAGTCTAAGGTTTGGCTGACAAATTTGGCTGTAACGTAATTTGGAAGCTTAATAGCCGTTTAAAAAGGATGCTTAAAAATTTTTAGAAAATGATCCTCATCTGGCAGAACTAAGCTGGTCACATCTGGGAGA